TCGTTGAATTCAATGCAACTATATGTATGTGTTTTTTCACTTTTACATATTATTGTTCCATATCTTTGTTTGTATGGGTATTAACATACATTTAGATTCGTAGATTTGCACTAATAATTTAGTGCATTTTCATTAGCATATGATGCATTTAACGTTTTTAATGCCGAACAATTTTGTAATACTATATATTAACTTTTAATAAGATGATAATGATAAACTTTGTATTAAACTTTTGATGCACTTATCAATATTTCCTTCATGTACTTTTTCATTGATTTTTATTTTACTTTGTTTTGAAGATAAAAGTGACACAAGAGACACTATCATAACGGAAATTATGATGCTTTCAGAAGAAAAGTGCATTTCATTTTGTAAAAAGTGTCAATGTAAAATTTTAGAAAAGTGAAATATTCTAGTGCACTTTTATATGTATTTAAATGCACATAATGAAAGTGCATTTTATTATGCAAAAAAATGCCAATGTAAAAGTTTAGAAAGAGTGATATAATAGTGCACGTTTTTATTAATCTAAATGCACGCTATAGTTGATAGTTTACACCCTTGAATACTCACGTTTGTTTTTATTTCAGACATGTATGAATGTGCACCACTAAATGTTTAAAGTGTATATTAATGTTTTAGAAAGTGAAAATTAATTACATTAAAGTGTGGTTTACAATCGTGGAATTAACTTAACAAATGTGTAATTTCTATTTACGTTGCAAAAATATCTAAATATTTAACTAAATTGTTTTTGCATAATGTTTCAAATAAAAGTGCAACTATTCAACGTTTCAGTGCAAATACACAAAACTAACTAGATGAAATATTGCCCCAGAAAAGACGATTAAATGTGAAATATGCACAATTTGAATAAAGATTTTTTTTATCAAATTATTAAATAGAATTGCATGTGAGATAATACTAAATTAATTAATTTGGAGAGAATTGAATTATAGAAAGTACATATGAATTATATTAAAATAAGATGGAGATACGTTACTCCTTATTAACTACTAGCCTAATTTATAGGATATCTTCACATTATGGTGCATCATGCGGAATAACTACTTGGATGTCATTTACCAAGGTGCCCTTATTTAATTTTAAGTTGAACGGTTGCCATATATACATGTCTAATGCTCCGAAATTAGCCTCCTTTTTAAAAAATTGTTAAGCCATTATATCAAGTTAATTGAAGGCTGTATTTTATTCTCATTTCTCTCTTGGGACACCACTCTCATTGG